CACCCGTGGAATAAAGCTAGCTGTGTACGGAGAAGGTAGACTCGGCTGAATCGTGTAATCGATAGATAACTCACAGTCTGGCCTGGGTTCTAGTTTCGTCGGGAGACGTTGAAGGGAGAATAATTACTATTGGTCACGAACAACCGGTGCGAGCCTCCGAGAGAAACGAGAGCTCGGATTAATCTTATGCAAAACATCGTGAAGAGACCGAATCGTGAAGCGCGTCCGTCTCCTCATCGGTCTTTTTTTATTTTTTTATTTTATTTCTGTTATTTGTTCGAATTTATCTAACAAACGCGACGATTGAAAACGACCCGGAGCCCGCGGTCGCATTTCCGTGCGTTTTGCTCGCTGGACCTTCGGGGAAAATCGACTCTCAACGTATACCAAACAGCGAATGTTTTTTTTTAACTCGGCGGAAGTCGTAGCTGGAATACATTGCGGCCGGCTCTGCAACCGATCGGGCCAAACTCGATGAACATTTTTCATCGAGAAACGATTCGAAAGCTACCCCCCCATGAAAAATTCATCAAACTCGATACAAATTTATTTATTCGGCGATTCCACGGTTAACCCTTGGACTCTCCTTGCGAAATTCGGAGTGGGTCAGAATGGACGTGCTTCCATGGACCTAGCGTTACAAAAACCTATTCACGGCACGACATTTTAATTTGATTTAAATAGCTTCACTTGAACCCGCGATCCGTGCATCTGACTTCAAAATACCCAGTGAAATCCTATTAACTCCTTCAGTAATCGCTACAATATTACAAGATGGAAGAAATAACACATTTTTTTTTTTTATGAACGAATTTTATTTACTGAACATATATATATACCTCATAAAAGTCATTTCGGGCTCAAAATGGGACCGAAAGTTGATATCTACTGATTAATTTTTGTAACATTAATCCTGATACAAATATGTGAAAATAAAATTGGAACAAGTCGCGTACACTGTACAAAAATTTACACAGGGTTGCCCGCATCCGTAATCTGCGCTTCTACATACCATAAATCGTATTTATCGTATTATACAATCGTATTTTCACACGAATATATTCAGGAGTGGTCTTTTCTGCAGGCAAAGAAAATTTCACCACTCGGGCGTGGTCCTTAAGCGGTTAACTAATATCAATTCATCAACTTTCGTGTTTATTTGTCCTCAATTAAATTCTTCCCGCGCTCTGCGATTGGCTCGAAAGTCATCGAACGATTACGTCGCCACCGTGCCACGACCGCGATAAATGTTTTTCTCCTGGAAGACGAAATGCTTTACGAGCGAGGCGGAGTCAGGCCGAGAGAAGGAAACAGAGAGAGACGAACGGAAGCGCTTTTATTCTTCTCGAATAAAAGGACAGCGTTCCGGGCGAGAGGATCGATCTTGTTCGGGATGCTGTATCGAGATTCAAGCTGGATAGACGTGTCCTTCTCGTCGGACGGATGAAACAAAGTGCATCGCGCACGCTTTCGATGGAACGTTTCAGTGTATTCCGCGCGCTTTCTTCCTGTCTGCGAGAAAAATAGGACGCAAATTGGAACGAGGCTACTTACCTCGCATAATTTCACGCCAGAGGGATACGCGTATGCATACGGATGAACGTCGCCTGTCTATGGGGAAAAGAAATTGCTTCTGACGCAAAGCTGTACTCGTCCAATAATTATCGGTGGTTATACTGAACTGAACACTTTATGAAACACTTTAACTAACACTTTACGAAATAATTAGTCGGTAATTGGTTCGAATTTGTCTAAAAAGTACAGGTTTTTATTTATTTTAACCTTTTGTAAGACGAGTTTTGAATCGATTTTGACATGCAAATATTGTCTCACTTTAATATTGTATACATTTTATTTCTGAAAGTATTGCTTGTATTTTACGTTGATGTGAAAACAAGGGTACACATACAATACTAATCTCAATATCGATTTTGACACGCAAATATTCTGTTTCATTTTAATATTGTATACATTTTATTTCTGAAAGTATTGCTTGTATTTTACGTTGCTGTGAAAACAAGGGTACACATATAATACTAATCTCAATATCGATTTTGACAGGCAAATATTCTGTTTCATTTTAATATTGTATACATTTTATTTCTGAAAGTATTGCTTGTATTTTACGTTGCTGTGAAAACAAGGGTACACATACAATACTAATCTCAATATCAATTCCTCTGTCTGAAGCTTGCCTATCGGCAATTTTCTCCTGAAATCGCCTCTCGAAGTTCGCGAACAAACAGAGAATTCATGAATTCTGCCTGTGAAAAGTTTTACGACGAATCGCTCGCGCCCGACGGCTTACGCGTATTCTTTTGAACGGGTAAGCATTCCTCGAGGTCGCAGGGTAGAACGATACGCGAGCGAGGTATCAAAGAGACCGTTCTCCGTTTCCTGAAATCCCCAAGAACGCCCGGCAGCGTCGTCGAAACGCGATGGAAGAGAATTACGCGGATAAAAGTGAATGAATTCGAGAACGAGCAACTCGCGGAGGTCCGTTAGATTAAATACGGAAACTTTCTGTTAGAGAAATACGCTTCGCTCGTTCGATACTAATTTTCCCTTCGACGTTTCTCCGCTCTTTCGCGTAATCTACTTACTGGAATGCCTCCCCTTCCCGTCGACAGATTCTTCAAGATAATATCCTCTCGAACAATTATATTTCGGAGGGTGAGCATCTTGAAATTTACATTTTCTTTTTTGTTATTGCCTGGAAGTAATGGAAACAGACGAATATTTTTGTGAGAGCTAACTAGAGCTGAAGATCCAGATCGCCACGTTTGCGAAACGAGCTGGACTCAGGCGTGACTATCTTACGCGGCCATGAATAACAAAAATTACAAGGAATAATATTAAAAGGATATAGCCGGTTTTGGGGATCGAAAGTGCCCTCGGACCGATTTCGATTTGCGATTATGTATATTCGATAGGTTATCAAGAAAGACTAATCTGTGTCAAGTTTCAAGTTCCTATCTCGACTGGTGGGGAAGTAAACAAGAAAATACAAAAATCACGTTTTTGACTAATTTCTCTCGTTGTATTGCAGGAACAAATTAAAAAAAAAAAAAAATCAGAGATACGTATTCCAGAATTTTTTCCGGATTTTTCTGCCGGTTTTGCATCGAAGAAATTTTAGAACTACGATTATATAATTACAGGAAGTGTATATTATTGTTATTATTATCCTCAATTTTTTTTCATAATTTTGGGTGTGGTGCGCCGTAGTTGGAAAAATCAGAAACCGATTTTTTTTTTGTTCTGTATACTTTTTATATACATAATTAAATACATAATTCTTAATAGTTTTGACTTGGGCACATTTGACCCTCGAAATCGGCTATACCCTTTACTAAATTTACCCAAATTTAACGCCACGAATAAATCGTTACAATTTGTCCCTAAATCCAAGATTCTCGTATCGTATTTGCCCGGGGTCGCAAAATAACGAAACCACCCGGGGAAAAAAAGTTTCCATCCGCGGTGAAAAGCAATTAGAAACGTCCTCGTATAAATTGGAGTCCTCGAAGCATCTGAGTTCCGCGCGCGATCACAATGCCTCGTCGAGGAATCAATCCATCGAATCCATCGAGAACGAAAACAAAGAACGAAGAGATCCCGGAGCAATCGGACAGCCTGGGCACATTCGTATCGGAAGCCAACAATCAAAGAGAAGCGCCGCTCTTCGCGTTTAATCCTCTTCCGGCCTGGCAGCGCTATCGACGCGTACGTTATCGCACTAATTGACTGTCGCTTTAGCCGGAAAGGAATTTGAAAGCTCGCAAGCCCACATGAAAGTCCGCGAAAATAATCCCCCGCCGGCTGCCCGCTCGCATTGATACATTTTTATGAGCTCCGAAAGGAATAAACGATCGGGCCGATTCACGTTTGACGATTTACCGCCAAGCTTTTCGCCGATTCCCGCTTTTGTCGCTCCGAAGCTAAAACGCATTCCAGTTGGACACTAGGGATTATGGGAGAACGTCAGCTGCAAGATCGAACAAGAATGACGTTTCTCGAGAATTTTGTCCAATGATACGAAGTACTTGATGTAAACGTCTTATACGCGTGTTAAAAGTACATACCTTTAAACGATACTTCTGCCAATTTTCTTTGGAAAATGTTGATTCGCGTACCAAGCTACCAGAATTCCCTATTCGGGGGTGAGTTTCTGGGGCTTCCAGTGGTCAGGAATATAATTACAATTCTTTAAGTATCAATTCCCTTAAAAAAAAAAAAACTTCCTAAAAATAGAAATTCCTGTAAATAGATGTAAAATAAAAAAAAAACTTTCGGATCCTCGCGAGTGGTGTTGCTCTTACCAGAGGTCATCGTACGTGGTCAACGACTCAACTGACCACAGTAATCAACGTAGGGTCAATTGGCCTGTCAAGGTCACCGTGACAGTCCATCCCCACTGTATCGTTTAGTCGATCCAGTCCCCTCCTCTCTTCTCCCACCTTCTATCTGCACCACGTGCTCGGCGTAAAAGTAAAAGTAAAAGCAAACGTCTAACTTCGTTTACATTCGCACACGCGACCTTCGCGAATCGTTCTTTTTCCGACCGTGGGTGAATCACGCCGTAAAATCCCGCGGTGATAACCGGCGACGATCTTGATACACAAAGTAGACCGGATAAACAGTGCGGTATACGTATTCTAGTGGGCTCGTTTGCCGCGCTCGAATCATGCGAGCAAGCTGATACTGTTTACCTTAAGAAGACGTTTGACAAGGTCGACTACTACTCGATATTAATTTCAACACTTACGACGAGTACCGTGGAAACGTGGTTTTCTGGTTGACGAGGTGAAAAATCCTGAGACAGGGTCTGGGACACTTATGTACCTGTGTACCTTTGTACCACTTGTGTACCTTTCGATACCTTCGCCGACTATTATTAAAGTTCTATTCCGAATTACTACGAGGTAACAAGAAACTTGACAGTCCCGACTGGAAGCTGTAGGCCGATCAAATTAATTTCGTGTCGTTTTCCATTCCAGATGATAACGGTGCAGCAGGAATTGGCGTCGAATTGGTAGTGGGCCTCGCCCGTGTCCTGGCTGAGACCACCCGGAGGGAACGAGAGGGAAGCAGGATAAAACCCGGAGTCAGTCTGGAGAAGGGAAGAGGAACGGAGACCGGTAGAGATAAAGCGGTAGAAAGGGGGGCGAAGAAAAATAGGCAACGGGAAGGGGAAGGGAAAGAGAGAAAAGGAAGACGGAAGCGAAAGGGAAAAGATTGGAGGGACAAGAACGAGGAGGCTGAGGGCAGAGTAAAGAAGAGAGGGAGGCTGGTCTCGTAGGAGGGCATCGTCTAGAGATCTTCCCAGTAAATTCGGAATCGAAACCTCGAGGCTGCGAAGGTCGCTGATGTCCGCTACGAGCCCTGCCCCTACCCCTGCCACCTCGCCGTCGCCCGAACAGAACGGAACCGGAACACCCTTGGCCCCGTCGACGCCTGGGAAGCTTGCTTCGTTAACCGGCACCCTAGGCCTCGATCCAAGAAGAAGGGACAAGTATTCCTGGGATATTCTGTACGAGTCTCGTCGGCCACCACGCGCTCTCTCGCTAGGAACATCTTTAGTGACACTGCTGCTGTACCGCCGATCAGCTCGACCACCCCTCTGAATGTCTTCGCACATACAAAAGTCGTGCGTGGTAAGAACACAGGTTTCGCTACCCCTATTCTCCACACTTGGACGAATCAAATCTCGGTCCACCCCCGTCGAAGCAAACTCACGGCGCGATTGTATTTCCGCTCGAACAAGAAACGAGCTTCGTCTGACGAATGCCTTCGTAACTTTCCTGAGTTACTGTCGCTGGAAGGGATCTTGTGAGGTCGTAAAGTCGGTCGGACACCGATCTTTACAACTTGAGTTGACCGCAATTAGTAATCACCTTTTTAGGCAAGGACAGAGCTAGACTTTTCATTCAGGGCCGTATGGTATCAGAGTTTAGGATGTTCATATTTCAATCACTTTTTTCTTCTTATGTATGTTCACACATAATTCTGTTTGCCGACTTATTGAAAATACTGCGGTAGGTAGGAACTTAGTTGACCAATCATCGTCAAGAGTTTTCGGTTTTTCCAAATTGGGAAAACCCGGGTAGCAAACATCAAGTCTTGGGCATGTATACTTCAGAGCCGCGACACCTCTGTCGTCCTACGGATCAGTTACCTGGCCCAATAAAGCAATAACTACTGTGTCGGTTTTCGACCTCACAAGATCTCTTCCAGCGACAGTACGTGTACCGACCTCGTGAGGAATTAGACGGGTGATCTTACCGCTTCTCTCACTTTAAGACGTGTCTCCACGATCGATGCGCGCTAGTGTTCGGTTAACCGTTTAAAAGCGACTTTTTGGACGTACAATTTCAATTTTACTTGTATCAGAATACAGCTAATTGTTAATTGAAATAATACGTTCAGTCTTGAATGTTCGTAGACGTTTTTGGTTGTATAGAAATTTATTATAAAAATGGACTGGATCTGATTCCGTAGAAAAATGCCTCGAACGCAAAGGGTTAAACGTGAAAATTTCATTGTGGATAAGCGAGGACAAATTGTCCTTGCCGGAGGGATGTAGAAGTCGAGAGGGAGAGAAACCAAAAATTGTTTGGCGAAGATCAGGCAAGATTTCTGCGATGGTCACTGCGACTTCTGATTTATGGTTCCTCGGGTACGTCCCTAAAACTTCAGGGACTGAAACTTCGCACTTTTCGAAGACGTGCTTGAAAGTATTCAACTCGCGATTGTGTCGAGTGTTCCACGGGTACGAGTCTAGTGACCAAAGGTGGACAACCTTTTTATCTGGATAAGAATTTCTAAAATTTGAATCATAGAATGAATTCGAACGAATATGGGCTATTCGTCTACTGTTGTTCTTCTTGTTTGGATCAAAGTTTGCCCAGCTCCGACGGAGCATTCAGTACCACAACATCAGCGCGAGGTTCTAAGGCTCGCTTCGTTAGATCTGTCGGAACAAAAGGGGGGAAATCGATGGCTAAAGCTCGGGTAAACATTTGAATTGGTGGATGACGGGCCAGCGAAATGCGATTTAATATCGAAAGGAAATTGACAGAATTTTCCCGAAACGCTGACACGCCGCGTAGAGAATCGCATTATTGAAACGTTGGAATTTAAGAGTTAATATCGGAAATCCTTCACGCGTTACGTATCGAATTTCAGCGTTGGCTGTGTCGGAGAGTATATCCGACACGGGGTCGCGATCTTTTCCTGTACTCTCGAAATTAATATCTGGCTTTACCAGTCAAAAAGCGGCGAGGCAATTATTCAAACAGCATCGAGCAAGGTTTATCAAATGTATTTGTAGTATCATGTATATTCTCAGTTCAATGATAAACAGCGTATGGAACAGAAGAGTAGTACAGGTTCTACTAGGCGCGTGACAAAATTTTGCGTCACTTCATATCTATTCTAAACATTTTTTATTCCTATTTTTTTATTTCCGTTCAGTCGATTACATTATCTTGTCCTCGTGTATTACGCTAATCGTATTACGGCAACATAAAAAACGAGCAATGCCTGCTCCGCTGTTTTCCCGTTTGTCGATCCCCAATCCAGCGGTGCAGCCGTCAGGGAAGACGCGTCGCGTCGGTTCGAATCGAGATTCAATTTTCGATAGAGAGAGCCAGATGGTGTTTCGTCTGAAAAGCTGACTCTCGCCCCGATACGGCTGGAAACGAATTAATGTTTCAATTCGACCGAAGAAACGGGCGAGAAATTTTATCGTCGTGAGGCGTAAAATTACGAACGAGATACTGCGACGGTAACGCGAACAGATAAAGAAGCGAATGGAGAAAACGTAGAGGGGTGGAGAAAGCCGCGTAGGTTTCCGCGCGAGGGTAGCTAACGGAGCACGGAAGTTGCAAATGGGGAAAGTTACGCAAAAGTAAGATCCCGAGAGGGAGGGGAGGGACAGAGAGTTTCGTGTAAGTAACCGATGGTCGAGCTTTCAAAAAGCATCCTTTCAAAATTAACTCCATTGCAATTGGAAAGTTCTTCCTCTCCCCGGGCGCAGGGGGTTGAATTTTTCTAGCGACTTCCTTTATCGGTGAAAATTCCGTCGGTTGTTTACCAGCCTTTTTAACGCCGCACTTTGTTCTTCTTTGTGCTTCGGGAGGGTAATTGATTCCGTAAAGAAGTAAAAGCGTCCCGAGGCAAGGTCGCTCAAATAGCCACGGTGTTTTTATCGATGCAGATTTAATTACTCGTTTAAATGGCCAAACGATCGATGCTTCGGCTCCCAAAGGAGATTCAGCAAACTCGAAAATTCCAATCAGTCGGAACTTTGCGAAAGCGTAGTTGGACCAACGTTGGAGTGGAAATGTCCAACAAAGTTGCGAGTCTCCATACTATCGAGTGCAATTCAAAGTTTTATGGTTTTTAATATCTTACAGTGTGGGGTAGGATGTCTTTTCTGAGGTTTTCTTTTTCGAGAGCTCGTTTGGTTCTACCGGTTATTTTCATGAAAACGCAAGGCATGCAAGGACGAAATAACCCGGCGAAAAGATTTCATTTTTTTTTTTTTTATCGAACACGTGATCTTTTTCGATCCGGCGAGAGGCGTTCCGTTTTTCTTGCTCCCCTGTTATGGCAATTAACCCGTAACCAACGTTCGACCAGAAAAAGTTTCGTCTTGCTTCATTTCCGCGCAATCCTTTTTCATCGAATAATAACCGTTCGCTTCGGATTTAAATACATGCATTCCATCTTCTATAACGTCGAGTTACGTTCACGTCGAGCTCGACATTTATTGCGCGTCCAAATCATCCGTTTGACCTATATACGAAAATCTGAGAGCGCGCATACAGTCTCTCGGATTTGACAATGAACAGATTAAATTTGACGAATGGAACCTACAGTTATTCGTCGATTTCCGAACTCGATCTTTTTTTTTCTCTCGTCAGATCCATTTATCGAAAATCGAAAAATGTTGTATCCTATTAACCAGTCGCATTCGCTGCCCGACGATGGAATATTTATTTACAATAGAACGTATATAAAAATAAACGAAATTCCACATTGTTCTCTGGCGCTCCAATCCTTTCCATTCGAGGGATGGGAGAGACTACTATTTTTAAAAGTTAATTCAATTCCGAATGGACGTTCTATTTGTCGCTCCGGGCCATTCTTGGAAGGCTAGATGAGTGGATAGGGGCGGGCGGAGTCCCAGTTACAATTTAGAACAGTTTTTGAAACGCGCAACGTCTACGAGGCCTCCTGCTGCCTTCGTCCTGTATGCAGGCTCTGTTGCACACGAGTCCCTCGTTCCGAAGGAACTCACTCGTATATCACCGGAGGCCTTTTTCCGCTGTGTGCGGGTTTACGACGCATCAATTATCATTGAGAGCCGTACAGCTGGACTCTTTTCCATAGAAAGCTGGCTAACATTTTCCAGTCGTACCCGAGTCCTTGAGAAGCGCACAGAAAACAGAACCTGATGTCTTTCGAAAAAGTGCCACTGTTCCGGTTGAAAATCTGTGAGTAAAATCTAAACGAGTAACGAGTAAAAAAGTATCGAGTAACAGTCTCATTTATCCTAAATATTATCTCGAATACTATCACAAGATGTTGCAAACATACAGTATTTTAGTAGACTACTGTGTATCTACAGCGAACAAGAATCCCTCGGGACTCGACTTAAAAGCACTCGAAAAACTTTAAACTGTTCCGACTACCTCACTTTGCTTCCCAAACTATCAACTGCGAACGAATGTTGGCTTGGTTGCTAAGTAAACGATCTGAAACACCAATTAGAGTCCCTCCGAGGCCCACGTGTTCAAATACATTATGCATCGGGTTTGTCAAACCCGAGGCGCAATTTTGAAAATCAACTTTTCATCGTTAGTCGCGAGTGACCCTTGGCAAGAACGAATGCCGGAGTGTTCTACGAGAGCGTCGAATCTTTGAGGGTGGCCGGTTCTCGGGATCCATGGATCAGTTAACGAGGAACGCGCGCGGATCGGTGGATTCTCGTCGCGTTATTCGGAGCTACCGTGTGTCGCATAGGCAAATACCTGAACGGAGGGGCAGAGTTTGCAGGAAATTTGTGGGCGTTGTACTCGGTTGGTTCTCGAGCACGCGTCGCTGAGAATACCGCCGATGGTATTCTGCGACCCGGTCATTGAATGCGCGTTCACCTTCGTCACCCTCTCGCAGGACAAATGAAACCCCTCCACAATTTGCCTCTCTTATTTTCAAGTCCCGCTTGCTTTGCGCGCTCATCTCTCCTTTGCGAAGAGTCCGCGACGCGCGCTGCTAATTAAATGTTATCCTCTAAAAGGGGATAGAGGAACGAACGGGTAAGCCAACAGTTGTTTATATTCCTTGATATTAATGCGGTCTCCTTTGTTTGACTGTTATAATTCGAGCAATCGAGTACAAACGACGAACGGATAGATAGCTCTGTCTCTGCTAAATGATAATTGAAATTCTAATTATCAAATGAAATTACGTTATACGCAGAGCATAAGATTGTCGTCCGTTGCGAAAAGGATCTAAACGTTGATGTAAAATACGTTGATACTCGATTCCATTTTCCCGCGCGAAGACAATTTATTTTCTGACGGACGATTTCCCTCGAGAGTTAGTTGTTTCGAAATTGCAATAGCTACGAACAAATTTGATCGTCTTGCAGGTTTGTTAATACGTTTGTCGTCGCGAAGAGTGGATACAATCGCGATGAAAGCTTTATCGAGAAAGAAAAATTACTCTCCAACGGACGAGCTTTGATTCGCAATTCCCTGACCGTCAATCATCGATCGTTGATCATTGGATCCATTAAAAAGAGGATTTCGTTTGATGGTTTCTCATATAGAACGAAACGTTTCCATTTTGTTTGCCCAATATTCGCGGTTTGATAGGAAGAGACCGTTATCGTTTTCCTAGCTTTTACGCGTGTTCCTCTCGTGGAAATTGTCCAACGAGGGCTAATTTCCCATCGCCATAGTTAGCAATTACGCCCTGTGTCCGGAATCAGATTCCTTTACAAAGCTCGCAGACCGCTAGATGCCTTCGATTTTTATCGATTCAAAAAATTTCACACTTTTTCCAAATAATAATACCAGAGACGATATACACAACGAAATTCAATAAAATAATTTATACGTTGAGTTGGTACAGCAAGGATCTCCGAAAAATAGAGATTAGCAGAATTTTATTCTGTCATTCAGGTTTTAATATTTATCAAATAAATGGTTTATTTGCTTTCGTCGCTCGTATTTACACTCGTTCGACTTCGAGCATAACGCGTAATTGAGAGTAAAATTTGTATCTTCTTTTCAACTGTCATTTACCAATGATCTAGATGAGAATTGGGACAAACCGCGATTCGAGAATTCTGGATACGTGTTAGAGCGAACCGAAACGGTCGGAGGTGCGATTCCGCCGAATCCGTGCAAAACGACAAGCTTTAGTCAAAGCTAATTAATGGCCGAACTTCCGCGAAACTTTGCTATTAAGCATTTTGCTGGCCAGCCGGAACCGGCGTTAGCTACAGGAAATGTTTTCCTCCTCTACTTCGATATTACGGTTCAGCTTTATCGGACTACTTTTCCGAACTTTTCTCGACGAAGATCTCTCTCGCTAGCCGTTACCCCGGAAACGATTTCCCCCGTTATCCTTCTTCCTTTGCGATTCCCTTCTGGCAAACTCCCATCGGTTAGTTCCTCTAGTTTCCAGGGCAAGAGCACGATTTTCCAAACTCGTTTGTTACTCAACATCCACATCGTGTCATTCTGTTATTTAGGAACAAAGAAATCGGCCACTTTTCGAGCTCTTTCCAAAGCGAAACTCGTGAAACATTGTTACGACTTTTATTTGATCCTTCGGAGCAGGAATTATTTATCGGGTATTCGAGTTGTGCCGTGATTCAATCTGCAGAGGTATTGTTAACTTAGAAATTTCAAGGTACAACGGAATCTCGTTTATGGGAATGAAATCGTGCTCAGCCTTGAATATACGAACTTGTAACTAAACCCAGGACTCTCCAGCCCTCTGCAGCTAAGACTCCAGCACTCTCCAGCTCTCTGTAGTCAAGCTCAGAACCTTCAACCCTCTATACCTAAGACTCTAGTACTCTCTAGCCCTGTATAGCCACGCTCAGGTACCTCTAGCTCTCCGTACCTAAGACACCAGTACTCTCCAGCTCTCTGTAGCTCAGCTCAGGATCTCCAGGCCTCCATACCTAAGACTCCAGTACTCTCTAGCCCTCTATAGTCAAGCTCAGAACCTTCAACCCTCTATACCTAAGACTCTAGTACTCTCTAGCCCTGTATAGCCACGCTCAGAACCTCCAGCCCTCCGTACCTAAGACTCCAGTACTCTCCAACTCTCTATAGCCATGCTCAATATCATCTAGCACCTCGTATCTTCCATTACCTAACTCCATGGTCGATCGTGAAGGTACCTATTGGACCTCTGTTATCCCAACTACTCCGTTATCCGCCTTACTACGAACTGCCTTCTCCCCAGACCTCTTCCATATAACCGATGTTCTCTTATATTTACGTTTAACCGATTGTTCGCCGATTCGCGTGGTTGCAGGGGCTTGAAGCGACACTGAGTGACAGCAAAAAGAAGTACGGTGACAAGGTGAATGCACTTCTGTCCGCCTGGGAGCATGTCGCCAATCTCATTCCTGGGGCAACGCCAGAGGCCACCCAGGCTCTCATAGAATGGGTTCACAAGTGAGTATCCCCCGTCGATCGCGTCCTTCCTTTCCTGTATCATCGAACAACCATCGCAATTATCGTTCTATCCTCAATTCGCCCCTTCCGCCGTTTCCTCTTGTTATTCTTCGGCACTGAAATAACGACGCGCGGAGATTCGTTTCGGCGTTCCTTTAGCCGCGAGTAGAGGAAGAGGAACGGGCGTTCTCGCGATGAAAAGCACTTATCGCCCGCAGCGGCCTCGCGGAACGATCATTTCGCGACACTGGAACAGAAGCGTGTCCGTTGATAAAACAGAGAGAAAAAAAATGAAACGGCGACGAATGGCGACGGACGTCGACAAACAGCGCGTCGTTTCGGTTTCCTTTTTCCAGCCTGCTCGCGTTCAAGGATCGTCGAGTTTTCTTTTTCTCTCGAACATCAAAGACGTGGTACTTGTTTCGAGCTTTCTGTGGTATTTGAAGAGATTAGGAAACCCTGTCTTCGCTTTTTCGTAACGGTGATCGAATTTCGAGAGAAAAAGTATGCTTCTCTGTAAACCGATCGCGATTTCCTTCCGATCCTTCGATGGTGTCAACTCCGTGAATGTTTCAGTGAATAAGGGGGAATGTTTAATCGGTTTGTTACAGCCACACATTGAAATTGGTACTGCGCGGGGAGTGGCCGTCGTTGGCACCCGCGACGAAGACGCACCTCAGCGTAACTCTGCAGAGGTGTGCGTCTCACCTGGTGCAACACCCCGCTGCACCCAGGTGTACTGCCCTGATAGGTCTGGTACACAATCCATGGGCACGTCCCGCTCTCGACAGTATACTTAACGGCCAACCGGATTCCGAACATGAAGAGGGTATGCCGCATGGAATCTCCTTCCTCTTGCCCACTTATCACGCTCTCGGCGTCTCGAGCATTGCCGCCTGAAGCTTCCGGGTCTAATAATAATAAATGCAGAGATATCTGTTTGTTTTCGCGTCACCGATGGAAGGAATGCGCGGTTAATCACCAATTACAGGAAGCCTTCGTTAGATAACGCTTATCTTTTTAAACTGTTTACAAATGTTCTTGCTTCGGGGAGAGTATTATTGTTCGTTCCAACGTTGTCAAGATCTAAAGATGCACTGGTCTATGAGAAAGAATGCTTCCGAGGAGTACAGATCAAATAACTCTACAACATCCTCCAGAAGCATTCTTCTCGATTACAAGAAATCACAGGAACAAATTAGTTTCTTTCCACCCAGAAATTTCAGAGTGTAAGATCAAAGAAGTCCTCGATAAGGACTTTCAAGTTCCACTGCTCTTCGGAATCCCCTGAAAAATAAGAGTTTCGTCACGAAACCTTTCCTTGCAGGGTTCTTTATCTTTCGAAAGGCGACTCGAGGTTCTAACGATCGTTCGTTTGGATTTAACAGAATTCTGCTGTTCGGAGAAAGGCGAACTGTTAACGATGAGGCTGGAGATACTTTGCGAGGACCGCTGCGAGGACATAGCAGTGAACCTCGCCGCCGCTTGTGTTCGTTCTCTGCGGCGGAGCGATCGGTTGCGCTCGCTGTCGGATTCTCAACACGTTCACTACATGATCGACGTCTACATTGTTCTCCTGTTTAAATTGAAACGCATGCAAGATATATTCGCTCAAGTGAGTATCTTATAGAAAAGTGACCTTTCACTCTCAAAAGCTGGCCAAAGGTACTTTGCTTTCAAATTGTTGTCCCTCGTCAACATCCTCGTTGTCCAAAAAATTTCTGACTTCGACTGGTTTCTTCGAAAGATCTCCTCGCAAACCAGAAATAAAATTAAAAATAGCTAGATCAACCCTTTTGCCAGTTTTTGTGGATTTTTGAACCACCGTGTATCGCGTACGAATGTTCTTTGGAACTCGTAGTACGCCAGTTCTGAATTTTTTCGTGCGCCGATAAAGTCCTTAGAATTTTCGCATGGACGTCGAAATATACTAAAGAAGCCCGTCTTCCTTTCAGTTAAAATTAATGGACATCCGCGACGGATTGGAGTTGGTCCAAAGACTCAGCGGCGAAAGACCAACGAAATATGGAACTGCGCGTGTTTGGAGGAATTCGGTAAAGGCTGCCGAATTAGTTGCACAATATCTCGTTACCGCCGGCATGGTTAGCCCCGTGTCGGACACGGGTGCGCATATTTTGGAACAAATTCTCAGCTCCTGGGCGATATTGCATTCGAAATTAAAGGACGTCGACACTCCGTTGCCGGGGGTGATAAGGAAATTAATCGAACCCGCCGAGAGCGCCCAGCATATCTACATCTTTTGCGCCGTGCTTGCGAAACATGTGAGTATACAAATTCCAAATAGAAAAGAAAAATATCGTGGCTCGCGTATAGCGAAGAGGAGTTCAGAAACTTTTTATACCGATTACTTCAATTTGTTACTTTTCGCAACTACAACCATCTTTCCTGAACTCTTCGATCGCTGATTACTTATAAATACAAATGAGCCGAGTTTGAGATCCTTTTTGAATTTTCTTGTTCCAGTTTGGCGATAGCATAAAGCCTCTGGTGATCGAGCTGTACATCAGGGCGTTGACGACGGACATGAACGAGCTGGAGAGTCAAAAGGCAAAGTCCGACAAGGAGAAGGTCCGCGAGACCGCGAAACGTTTGAGCGCTCAATTCCTTAAACTGGCGGTAGTGGTTGACAGCAACATCGGCATCGCTCGGGAATGCGTTCTTACCGCGTTTTCTCTGCATCCTACGCGAGCATGCTACGACAGGATCAAAGAGATCGCTGTGGCTTGCGGAAAGACGAAAGAGGATGGGTCAACGGCCGATGAAAATGTTGACAAGCTGAAACACGCGATCGAGAATAATCATTCCAACGCAGGGTTGACGCAGAACGAGAACGCCACCGTGGAGAAGAACGAAAATGGGGAATCGTCTTCGTCTTTGTACGGTTCATCCTTGCTTTCGACATCCTCGTTGTCCGACCCGAGCGCAGCTGTTACGACGTCGACGGTAATGAAGAAGGGCATCGATTTTCAGAACGGCCAAGTGTGCAAGAACTTTGATCGGACGGATCAATTATTGAAAAGTCTTTTAACCGCTCCAAGAAAGGGCGAGTCGACGCTGAAAGCGGGCGACAGGTGTCCCTTACATGCGAAGAGAGAACCACTGTTCAATGAACCGCTGGGCGAGCTTTGTTTTAATTGCGGCGAGTTTACAGGGACCGATATCGCCGACCAAAAGGCCAAGGATACGAACGAATCGACGTCTGGGAACGTGGAGAGATCGCTGGATGCGTTGATACTGATCAAAGGCGACGCTGTCACGGGTTCGTCGAATTACGATGAGAAATCGGTGCCGAATCAAGTCCTGGACGCGGAGAAGCTTGGCTTGTCGCCGCAACTTTGCGATGATTTGGCGGTGGTTCTGAGCAGTCCTCGCTATCACATGCTCAGCTGGGTGTTGGATTGGAAGGAGCTGAACAGCCTGTGCGAGAGATACTTAGAGAACGCCGAAGAGATGAGAAACACCAACAAAGAACTGAAGTATCTCAATATCGATTATTCGCAATTCAAAGATTGGCCTTCGGAAGACGACACCAAGGATATCTTTTTCGGCATCGAGAAGGGATACGAGCAATGGGTCGACATGCCTTCCGACAACTCTGAGCAGTTTGGTAGCTTTCAGCCTGCTGGAACGTACAAGAGATCCTCGACCAGAAGGAGTCTCGACGATACTACCACGGATTCTGACAGCGGAAGTGTACTTCGCATCAGGAGGACGGGAAAGCAAAGGAAGATTCACAGGCTGGTGTCATCTGAGAGCGACTACGACAGCGCGGAACATAAAATGAAACACTTCAGGAACACGGTCAGCTCGTTGTCTGACAGCGACAGCAACACGCAAGACAGTCAGGCGGATAGTCTTGGTAGCGATAATTGTCGATTAGAAACGAAGAAGAAGACCGGTAAATCGTCTGGCAAGGAGGCGAACAAGAAACGTCCCAAGTCGGCGAAATTGACCGTGGAGTCGGTCTCGCATTTTCACATGCTCGTCAACGAGAACGTTCGACGCACGAATCCAAACGAAGATGCGAGCGGTTCCGACGTGAGCAGCAACGATATCATAACACTGTTCTCAGCCGATATGGACGAGAACAAACGCGAGACGATCAAAGGCTCGGCGTACACGGCAGCCGCGCCGTTGATAATCACCGAAAGAAGAAGCGACCCCGCGGTACTTAAATCTCTGAGAATGTTCAGGCCACAGAACTCGAAGAAGCCCACAAGAATTTCACAAATATTGCAAAAGAATCTGCTGAACAAGAGCAAGGACAATAATTTAGAAAATAACGCGAACAGCGTGACGAAATTCGCCCCCATGCTCAGCACGTTGAACTTGAATCCGAAGATAGTGTTGACCAGGGCGGACGAGATCGACAGAAGACTGATTTGTTCGAAGAAACAGCAACGATTGAGCACAGGCGACATCACCAGCGAGCTGATGAACATTCAGAAGAACATGCCGTTCTCGCCGAACAAGAACGCGATGTCTACGTATCAGAAGCAGAAGGGGAACAGAGGAACGAACACGACCAAGTCGGATCTAGGTTCCATCAACAGGGGACGAGACTTGAACTCCAAGTCGAATTTAGGGAAGCGAAAGTTCGATATCCTCGCGAAAGCTGTCAGAGACTCGGACATATTGGCGAAAAATGTTCCAGGCTTGAACTCGTTGGACATGATGGTGCCGCCACGAATGCGACCCACCGTGAACGTAGTGCAACTCTCTAGAAACATTCCACAGAGCCCGAATTCGGGCTCGGTTAACAGCGGCAATACTCCTCCTAGACCGAATAGAACACCGAGCGTGGCTGGAAACATTCAATTGCCTGGCACACCCTCCTCTGGGGGACACGACAGCGGCGTGGGTATGAGCCCGGCCGGACAGACACCTCCTCCCAGATCGTCGACTCTTCCCGACGTAGGCGAGGAGGCGAATCAACCACCCGATGGCTCGCCGACTTCCTCGATGACCACGAACGTCTCTAGTCAACTGGAGCCGGATTCGAGTCCCAGAACAGCGCCGATTCGTCGGAATCAGCAAAGTCAGTCGCCCAAAAAGTCGCCTTCTCCTTGTTCCGCAGTCACGACGACGACCACCACCACCACCACCACGACAAGCTCAGCCGTTGCTACGGCTACCGCAAGCATCGCGTCCGAGCAGTTGCAGATCGTCTGCAAACCGGACGGTACTTATCAGTTGGCCTCCGTGAACCCAAACGTCGTATCCAGTCAAAGGAGCGTTCTCAATCTGCAAAATATAGACGACGGGGGAAGCGTTGGTGGCTTCTCTCGGCAGACCCAGCACGGAGAGAACGCAACCAGCAGAAATACGTACGATAGACTAACGTCTACGAAGACAACCGCGCAATCCGGACAAAACGCTGGCCTGCCAAAGTTTCAGCAGGCGTTCCGTAAAACTATATATACGCTTTCGACGGATGCATCGAGTGGCACCACCAGCGGCCCAGCGACGGAGACGCTCGTTCAAGCGGCGTCACCGCAAAAGACAACGAATCTCTCGAAGGCCGTACAAACGTCCGTGCCCAACGCTCAACAGTCGAATCCATCCGCGGGAATCAATGTGCAGTCCATCGCAAACATTCCGACGAACGCGTTGCAGCTGTCCACCGGCAGGCAGATACTAAACATCGTGCAGAGCTCTGGGAATAACGCGAACGTGGCGACCAGCCCGAATACCAATCAAACGCTGACGCAACTAGTGCAGAGCGTGCAAAATGCCTCGCCTGGTGTGATATACACGCACAAAATTCCTGTAACGATATCCACCACGAATCCAAGTCAACTGAACATCATACCCACTATATCGCACGCAAACTCGATACCAACGGGAAGAACACCGGTAGTCAAGTTGAACATTATCCGTGCTACGACTCCTTTAAGGCAACAGAACATCACTGGAGCCATCCAAGCAGTTCTGACGGCTCCCAGATTGCAGCAGCAACAGCAGCAACCTCAACCGCAGCAGCAACAACAACAACAACAACAACAGCCACCAGCAGTTAGAACGGACAGTTTGATCGGCTCTCCCATCGAAGTCCCGAATCAAGTCAGTTCGACGACTCTGGAACAACTGAGGGAGTTTGAGAGCGTGTTGGAACAAGTAAAGGAGAGGAGCACTATACAACCGCAGTCTCATCAAATGATATCCACCGCCGCTACGACTACCGTGCAAACGCAAACGACCACCCAACAGACCCAAGCTACCAAACAACAACAGCAGCAGCAACAACAGCAACAGGTTTCCGTCAGCGCTCTCGCGCAGCAACTCTTGATGCCCACGCAGCAAGCCACCAACACCGACTTCGCGAGCAACGGCAACACGGTCAATTTTCAACAGGATATATTCTCTCAGAAGGTTTCCTTGGCTTACGTGAATCAAAATACCGCGGCAACAGGAACTGCCAAGACTCCCAACACCGCTCCTGTCGTCGTGGTGACGAGTTACTGTCAACCAGCAGCCTCTCCGGCCTTGAGCGTCACTTCTCAGAGTTCTTCCAGCCCGTGCGTCACACCAGCACCCGCGCCCATACCATCCGCAGGAAAGACGCCGCCCACGCCACCCTCCTCGAAGACGGTGAAGAAATCTGCGCCCAAGACCGTGAAAACCAGCGCCACGAACACGTCCAAGGCGTCGCCGATCCCCAAGCCGCAACAGAAACCTCAAGAGGACGAACAGACCGCTCAGAGGATCTACGCCATCTTGGACGAGTACGCGGAGCAGCTGCGAAACTCGCCCGATCTGAACAACAAACCAGCGCCGAGGAGACGATCGAATCCGCCGACGAATCCTAGTCAGTCCTCGAAAAGGAAGAAGTCCAGCGCGAACAAGGCGAAACCGGTCGGTCAACAAAACTCGGAGCTGAGCCCCAGCACTGACGACCTCGGCAGGACCATGGGCAGCGAGGATTCCTCCAGCGGTGTCGTTCACGTGCAGGACAGCCCTGCTGCAGGCTTCCCAGCTCCCGAGGAATCCACCAGCAATGTCGGAAACGTCACAGACGCCAGCGCCGAAGTTCGAAACCTGACCAACGATTCCAACGACGGAGTCGAGCTGAACGTCAAGAGGCGAAACCTGATTTTCGCCGAGCCTGGCTCTGGACAGCCGAGAGCTGTGATCGTCCAGGAGGCCGTGCAGACGAGTTCCGTGAGCGTAAGCGAGGCTCTGGCCTCCGTAACAGGAAAAATGGGAAGCACGGCTGTCCTGGTTCCAGGCACCAATTACATCCTGCCGATGAACCTGATGAAGGGCGGCCAACAATTCACGATAGTGTCCAGCGGATCGAAGCTACTCGCCACGGTGCCCGCGACGGTTCGAACCACTGGGAACACCGGCGTCTCGAACACTTTGGTACTGCAATCGTTTTTGAATCAAGCGGGGAAAATCATCTCGCAGCCGGCACAGGTAAAGCAAGTGAAGATACCGACGTTGCAGACATTGTCTGGCAATCAGACGCTAACGGCCGCGCAGAACGTTCAGGCAGCTTCCGTAGTCATTCCTCCGAGTGGAAACGGTGGCCAATTTACCGCGGAGACAGCGACGGCGACGGCAACGGAGAAGAGTAATATCATCGGTGACTTGACCATGGCGAAAACCGATACAGTCACGGGTGGAGTGCCCGTCGAGCCGCCTTCAAACGCAATCGTCGTGAACAAAAGTAATTCGGCTATTGGTTTGATTCAACGAAATTTGAACGAAGCTTCAGAGAGCCAACAGATATGCGGGGTTATTACCAGCAATCCCAACTTGACTCTTCAGGGAACGAGACTGTTCAATTCGTCTATACACAAATTGTCGACGCCTACGGGACTGAAGTCTGAGAATGTGGTGTGTCTGACACCGACAGCAGCAACGATCGCTCACACAACCGAGAAGAAACCATCGCAGGAGTCCCAAGTTCACAATGAGAAGCCAGTTTCCATTCAAACGGGAGCCACGATCGCGTTAGCTTTCGCTACACAGTCGGACGTTTCCATGCTGAACGACAGTCAACAACAACAACAGCAACAAAAAGATATGAAGGAGATATCGACGGATATAATCCACGGCGGCAAGATCATCTCCCCGAAGGCAGTGAAAAGAAAAATCGACGACGCTATGGGTATGTCGGCGAAAGTTCCGAAAACCTTGATAGCTTCCAACTCTGTCGTTTGTTCGAGCAACGCCAGGTCGTTGCAGAATAACGCGGCTGTCGGTTAGTGTTTCATTCAAAAGTTATTAAATTCGTTGGAATAATTCAATCGTCGTTAGAAAGTTTTCACGACCCAAGGTATTGTACCCCTGGTGTATCTCTGTCGCGCATTCGTACAGTCAACGACTAAGCGCTTGAAATGTTAATTATTCTATTAAAGTAGAAAGATACGAGTAGTAGAGATACGAGTAATAATTTTATTCTTTTTATCGGCAATTGTATTATAGGCGGACCACATTCTGCGTAAGTCACAAATGTAACGCGACTCTTATTTGGATGAGATATTCGCGAACGTTTATTTATGTCTTTACGTTTCATAGAAAAGAGATAAGTAACTGCAGTATAATTTTAGTTTAAGTTTAACTGCAATTTAATGTTGCAATTCAATCGGAGCGTGCAAGTTCACTTCTCGTGGATCTAAGTTAGAGTTATGTTTTTTTGTGTTATAATTATATATTTTTGTATTTATTAAACTTCTGTTTAATTATATACTTTGTTATTTTATTATATTGCGTGTCTGTATATCATAATTTTATTCGTCCAATAGTATCGAATGGACAGAATTAGAGATAAGAAAAGCACCTAATAATATTAAGAACACTTCAACCTCAAATACGCTTACTTTAACCCCTTCAAACTCACCTTATAAAACAAAGCACAACCTAACTGAAACAACTGAATGAACAATGAAAAAATGTAATTGTTATATGTGAGAATCATAGTACAGTGATCATGTGATGTTATATGATGTATACTATATTTCATTTCATTTCGAACATACTAACGCACGTGTTACAGTCCATATAGAAACTGAATGCGCTTGTCGACTTCACGAATTTTCTATACATGATCTGAAGGGGTTAAATCAAACAAATTCTAGTGTAGTGTGGTCTGTGTGGTAGACGGTTTTCCAAACGACGGTAGCGAACGCGTTAATCTTGGCATCAAGACTAACGTCCAAATACGTTTTCATTCGCAGATTCCATGTCCACGATCGTGACCAGCAAACAACCAGGGATAATGGACAATGCGACACAGTTCTTGGTAACCGGCGGTCCAAGCAGTTCCGACAGTCAAGAGTCGCCTATTCAGCAATCCAGCGAGGGTATCGACGTGTCCTGCAAAGTTGGAAACGGCTTATTGTACGGAAACGCGAGGTTACAAGAAGCTTGGGAACCGGAAGGCAAAGTTTCGCCAGACACGCCGTGGCGATACGTTCCTACGTCCACGAATTCTCTGAACATCGAGCCCCTGAACTCCAGATACGCCGACAACCCAGAGAACGTGCAGAGCGTTCTGCAGATTATCAACAAAGGCCAGGGTATCGAGATGGCGGGCGGACAGATTTATCAAACCAACACGAAAAAGTATTTTATGAATCACACTTTGGAGCCGTTTCAGCAATACACGAATAAAAGTAACATGATGAAGACGCCGCTGACGCCCAGATTGGAACGGGAACTGTTGCAGCAAAAAATGGAGAGGAAAGCCGCGGCAATAGAGCGCGAGATGAGGCTACAGAAAAGTTTGTCCGAGGAATGCGAGGATCTGGGGGTAGACGAACCCAGTACCAGCGATTTGTTCCCTGAAGCTGACCTCTTGTTCGACACGAATCACTCGCCCTCGTTCGATCACTCGTCCCAAGACGCGTCGTGCAGTCAGCCGCTAGGTATGAAATCGTATGGCGGTTCTTATTTCCGTTCTCTGGATTCGTCGAGCGGGAGCAGGGACGCCAGTCCCGTCGCCGACTTCAAGGTAAACGAACGTAGAAAAATCACCAGCCAGCGGACAAGGTCCTCGAAGGACTCCTTGAAGAGATCGAAGAGGGAAAAAGTGGAAGATCTCCATTTGGAAAATCCAGTGAAGCACTTGCGATTAACCTTGGACAACTCGAGCCAGGACGAGGCGTCGAACAGTAATTCCGATGTCTCGAGACTCTCGCCTACGAACTTGGGATCCTTGGAGAACGACTCGTTGAAGAACACCGGTCGAACGAAGATCGTGTCGAGGAACGGATCGAAAGAGGGCTCGCCGAGCAGCGTATCCAGCATTCCATCTAACATGAAGCTAGACATAGACCTGGACTCGGAATCGCTACCGCCAACCATCAACGTGAACAACGTGTCCGCGGCGAGCTCCGGCGACGAAAGTCTGACTCTGCTCAGCGGTAACACCGCAGACGTTACCATACCCTCGCCGCTCTCGCCTATCGCCGGACCCATGCTGTCCACGCACAAATATACTTACACCAATAAGAAACGCATAGCGTCCAAGGTGACGAGAATGGATTACCTTTCCTGGGAGAGTCCAATGTCCGAGAGGATGAGATCGAGCAGCGACGAGGAGGATTCCAGCGTGAGCGAGTCGATCGGCAGCCAACCAGAGGAGAACGCTCTGAGCAACGGTCTCGACGACGCAGTGCAAAGTCTCAAGTCGTTGTCCAGCGAACGGCGTTGCAGTTATTTGAAAAAAAAGGAGAAGCTAGAGGTAAACACGAGGGTGGTGCTGAATCGATCCGATCACAAGTCTGCCAGTCTCTCGAAGCGTATAAAAGCGTCGGAATCGATCCAAGACTCGATGATGATCTCCAGCGACAAGGCCTCCGAGGCCTCGGATGACGAGACGAGCAACATCGCGCTAGTCGAACCCGATTGTCGAGCGAGACGATCGAGCTTAAGGGGTCACGTTAAGAAGGGATGCGCCTGCTGCAACGGTTCCCCGGAACGACCGAAGAAAAAATCCGTCAAGTCGGATCATTCGAGGCTAAAGAAACGATTGTCCGCGAAACAGGCTGGGAAGAAAAGGTAGTCCTAGCGTTCGACGAAGGCTCGACGGAGCATCGCGTGTTCTATCGTAATGGTGCACGCGTCCCTGGGACGCGTTGTCCAGTCCAGTCCAATGACGGAAGAGAGAACGGAGCTTTCGGACGATCGAACTCGTCCTTGGGGCCTCTGCGTCGACGGACGAAGCTAGAACCGGAAGTGGAAGACGCTAGAAGCCGGGGGACGCGTCGAAGGATACCGTGAGGATTCGTGTTGGGGTCGCTTGGGAGGGCGATGATCCATAGAAATACCAAGCTTCTTGTACATATGTATCGGCAAAAGAAACTTTTATTGCAGCCTCGTGACTCGGTGTGCCTATACCATGCATAGGCAAATGATTTGTTAACCGCGAGACAGATATCTCCGTAAATATAAATTGAACACTGACAATTCGTTTCGCGCGGTGTGGGAGGGAACGAAGAACGATTCGTCAGCAGATTCTCGGGCGAGAATAGATCATCCTTTTACCACTAGATGTTACTATGATACGTAGACGTAAGGTACAGATTATAATGAATGGCAGACTTAGATTAAATCGTTAAGAATATTAGAGACGCAATCTAGTCAAGAGATAAGGTTTCGTGGCGAGAATTTGGCGTGTTTAAAAGAGAGAGCGAACGAGAGATAGAGTGAATGAGAAAAGGTAAAAAATAAAGAATAGAATGTATATCCGGTTGTTGATAGACCCCCTCGCAGAGCCTGAATTTATAATTCTGTCTACTGTATCTATCATAACAATACTATTCCACGTTCTAACACGGTGTGGTCAGACTGAGTAGACAAAATAGTCTAATAGATCTGGTTCGGCGAATTAACGTAGTAAGACACGCATTGAACTTTTGCCTTTCCGCGTAACGCTTCTCGATAACATAGTACCCTAACTGTATAATAGGGAAGATCCTTGTAAATTGTAGCGTCGTACCTTGAATCGAAGAAGTCGACGGGAGATTAAACGGACGATCGATCGAAGCGGAATCATCACGATGAAATAGTAGAGGGTATCGAGAAGAAATTGATGTGGAAGGGGTGCGGGGGGGAGGGGAGGGAGCATAGAGAAAATGAGGAAGTTTATATAAATATTATAATTGAAATCATCTTTTCTGTCGTACGGGCCGACCATACCTTATCACGGTGCATGTAAAAAAAAAAAAGTACCCAAAAAACTGTACATTACGTAGATAATTCATTAAAAGTATAATATTATATCGCTGCACTTTAGTACAAAATCGCTTCACCTTATTTCAGAATGACAGGTTTATATCATCTTTCGGTGTGCTGTCGTGACGCGTGAGAATGCCTGCAATTTATTATAAATTATAAACAAACAAAAGAAGAAAAAAATGAAAAAGAAACACTTGTAAAGGTTGTGCGATATAAGCTATGGAGAACACGACGCTCGATCGAACTTTTGCGTAAATTTCTTTTCGCGCTTTGATCGCGGAGTGATCCATTCGAAATTTCTCGCGTGTAAATGGCTAGAATTTGTTAGTTGATGCGCGTGTTATATATATATATATTATATATTATAATATATATTATTATAATATATATATTATCTCCGGCGCAAAAAGCTAAGAGTTAAGAATGTTGAAAAGTAATGTTCCTGTGAATTGTCTCCTTTCGTAATATGAACCAAAGTGGCTCCGTTTAAAAGGAAAACATAAAAAAAAGATAGCAGGTGAGGGAGGAGGGAGAAAAGTAATGGAGAGAGATGCATTAAATTGTACTGTCTTTCTTGCAATCGGATGTAAATTGTATTAGTTCTATTGCTTCACTTTGAACGTATTAATGTAAGGTAGATATTCTCCGTTTTCGTTTTTCCATTCTGTCGACGATTAGTAAAACTCTACCTCGTGCACGCGTCGATCATCATCTTTCTCGTAGTTCTCGTCGCGGTTTATCAGCAATTTATGCAACGCGTATTAGTCGAAGTAATCGCCCGCTGATGCTCGAACGATTCGCGAATCATTTCACCGGAAGCTGCTACAAGGGTGTCCTGAAGGCTGGCATAGACAATCCGTAATCGGTATTACGAAATACATATAAAGACTAGTGGCAACCTCGACACCGGCGTGTATATATTTCTCTTATCAGTAATTATCAATACGAACACGCTCCCAGCCGTGATTCTCTCCAAACATTGTCGTAACAGACATCTTCGCTGCTAGAGTTGGGCATATTTTTATGCAGATAACGAGTAGCGCTTTATCTACGTCTACACTTTTATTAACAAGTCACGAAGGAAGCGTTACTCGAACAACGTTTTATTCGGAAGTCCTTTACACGAATAAAAATTGCACCCAGAGAAAAGTTTATTTTCCGCCGACGAGGCCTGGATAAATTATTGGAATAAAATCATTTTTTTTTTTAACTAGATGATCGTCTAGATAAAGATTTATTCTAATAACGCTCAACTCTGCTAACCAAATCGCGCGTTTTCAGTTTCGTTTCATTCCACGCGATGTCCCGTAAGCCAGAGTACAAGTATTATTTTTCTAAACGAAGAATCTTTTCTTCCGAAATAGTATCCCGCGTTCTCTGCTTACTTTTCAACGAGGAACCGTTCTCTTGGTCACGCCACGAATTATGGGACACTCTGTATACGCGTAAAGCCTTTTTGTAAATAGCATTCTACCCTAACTTCCTCGGAGTGCCACTTTTCACCGAGTTTCTCGAGAAACCTCCTCGAAATCGTTTTCGAAGCGGATCCGACGAGTTTCCAGCGGTGCGCGGGTCGACGAGAAAGAAACCGAGTTATCGCTATTGTCTAAAATTAAGCTCTTATCTTCCTGTACATTTAAACCGAGGTAAGAAGAGAAAGTGGCGGAAGGAAAGAGAAGAGGGGGAAGCGAATGAAACGAAAACGGTCCGCGTGTAGCTGCTACACGATAGGGACGGGCAAAATTCGTAACGACGATCGCGAATAACGAATAAAAATCGAACATCTTGTTATTCGTTGGCGATTTTAGTTTGAATTCGATCGATAAAATATAGAAAAACTAAACTGTGTGACTATATTCGATCAGGTAAAGATCGCGAATAAACGTACGATTTTATTCGCCTGTTCGAATAAAATTTTGCCCGTCTCTGATACACAAAAATAGACGGACGGAGACGTTTAGAAGTGATGCATCTGTGTGTAGATGTAAATTTTCGATGGGGGTGTCGCACCAAGATAATAATACGTATTTTTTGATGGGCTGGACAAGAAAAAAAAAAAAACGTCGTTACATGTAGCTTATACGTTAGAGCAAAGCAAGCGAGCGCAAGAGACCAGAGAGAGTGTGAGGGAGTGACTGTCGAAGAGTAATTCGGTTGTCGGTGACAGCCTGGCCTTTTTTGCCACCTTTAGTCGTACCAACCGCATTTATAATAGAGGGGTAACCGTAGTCTTCGTAAAAAAAAAAAAGAAAAAAACAACTCGTGCGTGGACTTAATTAAGGGTGAAATCAATGAAAACCTAGACGAAACGCTTAAGGGCGAAGCAAAAAGTTTTCCAAGGCCGAGAGCTTTTCAGGTACTTAAACGAAAATGGAAAAAAAAAAATGTAAAGAAAGGAGGGGAGAAAAACGGAACAAAAGCGAGAGCAGGGAAGACGTAGACACAGAGTCAGAAGGAATGAAAATGGCGAAGAGTTTACACTGGCCGTTAAAATTAAGAGTTTTTGTATCGTATCGTATCGTTTGTTAAGACTACTGTTTTTTCTCACTCGAAAAGACCCCCTTACTACCAGTATTGCCGCCGCGTCACTTTGATATCCGCGAAACGAGCAAATGTGAGAACATCGATCTGGACGTGGGACGATAAAATTACACGAAAAGAAAAATAATACGAGAAACGTTTCCAGGGAGAGGGTGGACGGGAGGGAGGGAGGGAGCGAGGGGGGGGGGCGGGGGTAGCGAATGGACAAAAACGACGTTCGAGAAATGGAAAGGTAGGAGTGGGAGATACAAAGAGCGAGAGAAAATACGGTTTGTAACGAAACGGCCGTGCACTGCGAAACGTACATTGATTAAGGATATACGCATTGTCGTTTAGCACAAATCAGTTGAAGATCGTGAAATTAGATAAACTTAGGTGAACGATGAGGGAGTGGAAAGCCGGATAAACCGAGGACGGAATTGTTAACGATTGGAAGAAAAGTATAATAATTAAACACCGCTAACAGTCATGTCCGAAGAATAGGACGAAAACGAACGTCCGAATCCGCTTCTCTGTATATATGTTCGAACGTGATACAGTTAAAAGAATTCACACAAAAAAAAAAAAACACGCGCGATCAAAAGGGAACATTTCTTTTCTGGACGAGTACCGTTATACATACGCACTGTAATTAAATATAAAGCGTTAATGATACATATTTTCGAGATACGCAACCAGCTCGTAAGACGTGAATATTAACAATGGCATACGTTTAACGTGGAATCGATGTTTTACATGGAAATACACGGAACGCCGGCATTTGTATGTAAATATTTGACGAGCGTTAAGCGAGAAAATCGCGCATAAAACTGGAAACTTCGTAAGTTCTCTTATCTATCGGGTTGGTGCATAGTGATAGCTGTTTCCTTCGAACTTGAGCGCAAAAAGAACGTTATTTCGTGAAGTATTACTCGTCGTTTAAAAGAGATTTTTTATTTCGCAATTCGATGTTTACAATAACCTAAGTTTTCATTGATTTTCAGACGTTTAAAGTGGTCAAATATTTCAATGTGAACTTGACTGAAATGAGCATTAGACGCGAAAAGATGATGGCATATGCGCCAACCCAACAATATGATCCCCAATGACCGCAGCAGGTCCCCCCGTTATTTTTACAAAATTTGTTCTTGGCAAAACGCGTGCCGTGAAATGAAATTGTGGCGATCTACCGCAAATCAACGCGTGCGAAGAATCTACCACGTAGCACGACTTCAATAATTAAAATTTTAAGAAAAAATGATGCTTGTTCGCAGTACCACATTTTATGTGTACGGTTAATGATAGATTTTTTTGGTTTTTTTTTTTTTTTGTTTACTGTTAACGTTGAATCACTCACCCTTTGATCTAATTGTATTTGGGCGCCGAGACCCAGTTCGAATTTTCAACGATCGTAGTCCCGAATCGTCAAAGGAAGCGAGGTAAACTCGGATTTTTTGGGTATTGGATGTTCAAATACTCGAATGCACGAATATGTACGTTACGAGTGGACTTGAAAGTCAAATGTACCGAACGGAAGATTTTCGAATTAACATTTTAATCGATTTCATGCAATAAAAAGGTGTTTCAGAGATATTTCTTTAATCGACCTATATTATTTTTTTTTTTTTATTGCAGTAATTTTCTTTTTTAATAAATAGACAGTCAGTCGTTCATTTTTCCTTTAAATAGTACTACGTGACGAGAATGAAAATTATTTGTTCGTTACTTGTATATTCGAATGTCTGAATACTGATAACCCTGAAGGACGTGAAAAGAAAGAGGAAAACCCTAACGGAAATAAAGTGTTAATTCCATTCACAGTTGCAAAAAGCTGTTATCGAGTAGTTATGCGTGTATCCGATTATGCGAGGAAAAGAGAAATATGAGAAAAATTAACACGAATTAACGAAAATAGTCGCTCGATCACGTTGATTTTGATCGATGGCGAGGGAAAAAGACGAAGAAATGCTCCGTGGATATGACTGTACAGCGTATTAACTTGTCCGGAGGTACATATATCGAGAATCCTTTTTCAAATCGAAGTATTAAGGATTGCATATTGTACATAAACAAGACATATTTTCTATATAAGGGACGTCGCTCGGTAAGGCCGATGGCTCGAAAAAATATTGCAATATTATGATAATTCTTTTAAGCGGTAGGATAGCCTTTAATCGTTTTATGTAATGTAATGATAGAAGAGGGTCTGGCAGAATAAAAGTGAAAGTTCTGTATTTAAACGTGTTCTCAGAGGGCATATTTATTTGCTCGTTTGATATTCATTTATTCGTCTGGTGGAATTCAAAGGTAAGAAAACATTCCCCTCTCCCCCTGAGAAAAGAAGATTTTTCCCACTCAAATATTTTTCTTATATGCATGGAAAATATATATCGTAGGTATCTATGTAAACAAAAATCGTATACACATCAAATTTAATCCGCTGCATCTGCACTGGTACTTTCGTTTTCTTTTCGTTGACTCTCCACTTCCTGAAAAACGTTAAATGTTACGAATATAATGATGAGTCACGTAAAACAGAATTAAACAAAAATACACTTACCCGATGAATAATATCGAGGAACGTAGAACTTTCGTTCGACTGGAAAAATTCATTTATTTCTTGCGGAATGCAAAAGTGATTTGGAGGTTTCGGTTGTATACCGATCTCCTCACCGATAAATCGAAATTCTGGAGCGTCGTTTAATATGTTTTGTAATTCTTCGTACGTAAATAGAGTTCCTTTCGTAGCGGATTCATCTAACGGACCAAAATCGACTATCTTTACTTTGTCTTTCTTGTAGCGTATAACATCGAACGAATCTATAATACAACAATTTTTTCTATTATATAAACAGTACTTGACGCTTTAAAATAACGTCACGAAGAATACATATTTCTTTACTTACAATTGCTTAATGGAAACCTGTCTTTAATACGCTCCATAAACAGGCTTTTGATGTCTATTTGTATATTATACTTCTCTGACTCATTGTAGCTGTGGTACTGTGATATGTCTCGTTGACTGATTGCTGTACAAAATTGAAATAATCCAATTGGATAAATAAACTTAAAGCAAATATAAACTATATTACCTATAAGTTCATTGTCTATAACGAAACATCGAAATTCAGTACAAGGATTGATATCTTGCCATTGCTTTAGTACAAGACAAGCCTTCATAGGAGATTCCTGATCTGCATAATTTCTAACGCTATTCAGGTCCTTCATAATTCTATCTGAACTCTTTAATAATAAATACACCTCTTCTAATGTTTTGCATTTGAGAGTTTTAGTTGGTACAACCCAAGTTGCATCCTAAAAATAAATACATGTAAAAAAATTAAATGGAATTCAATTTACATAGAAATGAATAAGTTTACGCACCGAAGGTGAACTCCAATTGCTCTTAACAAAAATTGAACCATAATTATCTAAAACATCTTGAATCTTCTGACTAAACTCTGGAAACGTTGGTTGAGATTCCACTGAATGCTGAAAACAGTGTTATTTCGCATTCATCCCACATGAAGCAACAACAAATATCTAAAGACCATGTTAATTTAAAACAACCTCTTCGTTCACTACTGGAGATCCATCTGTCCACTCTGCATTTTCTAATGTGTCATTTGTTGCTTCAACAGGTAGCAGAAAAGCATCATGCTCTAAATACTCAACTACCTCGTTAGGAATGTCAAGAATAGTGGCTTTCAAAGAGTTTTTATTAAATTGAGGATACCATGATGAAAAGGAGCACTCAGATTTTAAACCACTGACCATATTAATGTCTGAATTTAACCTAAAATTTCTTACTATGTACAGATCGAATTTATGAATTACTATCGCAGTGTATTTTAAACGTAGAGTGTTTGAAAATATTTAATGTACGTGTGTACTTAAAATAACGAAATGTAGATTGTAAACAAAACAGGACATTTAAAATAAAGATATCAGTAGTAATGTAAGCATCAATTTAATTTTACGTCTTTTCCTTTAAGTTTATCAAACTATGCACAATTAACATAAAATCTAAGCATATAAAACATCGGACTTTAATAACCAATAAACATTATTTGAGATTGTTGTAATTTTGTTAATAATAATACAAAAAATGGTTAACGCATGAGCGATTATGTCAAATTTAACATTATACATCCATGCATAAAAGTCAGGCAAGTCTAGGGCGTCTACATCTGTGATTCATGGACACGACAATGGTATCGCCGTCTAGCGGTCAACAGGTACAACTAATTTTTCGAAGATATATATATTTCCCTTTATTTCGTGGCACATTTCCCTTTAATTTCCCTTCATTTCATGGCACATTTGCCTTAAATTTCCCTCCATTTCCTAATATTACTCCATTTAATTTCCCATTATTTTCTAGTACATTACCCTTCAGTTTTCTCTATTTCAATATGATTCGTGCCACCTGTTC